GGATAGGGTAGGTAGGCAGGCAGGGCATTATTTATGGGGATGTAATTTAATAAGCGAAAGAGAGATGAACACAGGGAGATATACCGGTGACGCCGGCCGGAAAGCCGAAAGTGGCATGAAAGTAGCAGCCATCCCATTGGCCGTCTTTCCGCGTCCTCCAGGAGTGCTGCCAAGCCATATGGCTCGAGCTGCCACCTCGGCAGATTCGGGGGGGAGTGCGAAATGATATGGAAGTAATGGAGAGCAAAGCGGAGCCCGGTTGCGTCCTCGATGGGAGATTGAGTCGCGCGATAGAACGGCGACGCCGTCTATCGCCGCACGAGAGAGCGATGACAGATTGATACAATTCCGGCGAGATTCGACGCGACAGATTTCCTGCCAACTGTTGTCGCCGCGTCGGTCATTACGTCGAATTAAAGCCGCGGTCGAGAATGTGATCGATTGTGCGTGGATCGCTCAAATCTCCTATCCTCTTCGTCTTCTCAAGTACTTTATTTAGCGACAAAGTTTTAATCCACTGCAAGACATCAAACGTTAAAAGCATTAAAAAACTGTGAGGGATAATAACGGAGGAACAGTGATCATGAGATCACTATTTGGAAGATAAATCTAGACAGATCGCATAAAGAATCTTCAAGCTTGATTTCTAGTTCGGGTAGTAGTAGTCCTTTGGCATCTAACGGACGGAGGATGCCGCGACCGGAACAACAGGAAGTCAAGGGAGCGGCGGCTTTTTCCCTTGGCCCTGATATCGACTCTGTCGCAGCTTGTGGCTTCGGGGGCAAACGCGAGAGGCACGCGAGAGCGTGACGTCGGGGGTTGTGTCGAGGAGGAAACGAGAAGAAGGCGGCTGTGAACCCGGCGTAAAGCTCTCGGGCGAACCTCGCTCCTTATCGATCTGCTCCTGAGACTCCTCCGACTAAGAAGGAGGGAGATAGAAAGGGATCGACACCAAGAGAACGAGAGAGAGAGAGAGAGAGAGAGAGGAAGAGAAAGAGAGAGAGAAGGGCGGTGGGCCTTTGCGGGTTTGTATACGTGTAAGATAGACTTCGGTAGAAAGCCGCCTACTCGACCGTGACTCCGCAGCCGAAGCCGAGCCTATCAATATTTCCTCCCGAAATTCACCGCGGCTCCTCTTTCGGCAATTCTTTTTTCTTTGTACTCTTCTTCCACAGACTCTTCCGACCTTATCTTAATTCTCCTCGATGTCGCGCTCTCGCAATGGATGAATTCGATCGCGTGCGAAATCTATGCATTCCATATCTTTCATCGTCTCTTTAATTATCGTACGCCTTTTTTACGTACGTCGGACAATTTCCGATTAATACTCCTCTGTTCCGCCAAATGTATTAAATGAATCGGCGACACGAAACTCCTTTTAGTAAAAAAAAAAAGAGACGTAAAAACCGTTGCGAAGGAAATGTTCTTTTTTAATCGCGACGTGCATCCCACGATTCGTAAAGAGCGCGAAAAGAGAACAATAGAACGCTGAAGTCGCTGCGTCGGCGTCTTTGGCGAATAAAGAAGAAGACACGGAACTGTTAACGTCCAATCTTCCCTCTGTTTTTCGCCTATTTTTCCGCTCTCCTCAATCCTGTCTCATATACACGGGATATATAACTGTTATTTTTCGCAAAAGCCACTCCATTATCTCGCTCTCTCTTCTCGTCCGTCTTTTTTACCTCGCGCGACTCCCATGCCATCCCACGCTCTTTCCTCTTGCGTCCCGCGGACGTTCTCATTTCGAAGTGCTCCGGCAAAGCAGGACAATACATTATATTAGCTGTATCATTATTTCTCTACCCCGAAAGCTACCTCGCGGCTAGAAAAACCTGGACACGCTCATAATGGGAGAAATCCCGGCGCACTATAGTCGCTGATGCATCTCAGTTTCCTCGCGGTAAAATCGCGTTTGATATCAAGATCTTTCTTCTCTCTCTCTCTCTCTTTCTTTCTTTGCACTCTTTTTTCCAAACTAAGTTCCAGTTATGCCAAAGGTTCATCGATGAAAGCGTGATCGCTCAAAGTTTTCCCTTTTTATTTCCAATTTTTTCTCGATCTCTTCTTTTTTGTTTTAAGCAATTGTTTACAGTTTTCTAAGAGTCATAGCAATCATTGTACGAGATAAAATCTCTGAGCCGTTTGATGACTTACTTTCTCCTTTCGAAAATGCACCGTCATTCCGATGAATTACATATCCATTCGTATCAGGCAGAAATTATATCCGCTTCGACGCGCTTTGCGAAATATTTAGTCTTTAAGAGACTTCTCTCGTTATCAATCGTTATATAATTAGTACGCCGGATGCGTGGTCATTTTCCAAAGAAACCAAACGCTCGCGAGTTTCCATCCGCTGCTCGTCGAGCGGAAATGCATTTACCTGCGCGGAATGGATCGGGCGGAGGGTTGCGGGTTTGGTGTACGTGAGTGGGTGATGGTACGTTGGATATAGATGCATGTAGATAGCGAGCGAGGTAGATAGGTAGGTAGGTAAGTATCCGCGGGGTAAGTTTTTCCAGGCGATCTGCTCTCCGGATTCAGATCAATACCCGCCATCTGGGCCTCGAGTCGGGGGGATAGGGACAAGGAGGAAAAGGAGTCGCGCTGGCGTGAAGGAGACCGCGACCAAAGAGCGAGAGAGAAAGAGAAAGAGAAATAGAAAGGTGAGAGCGAGACGGAGCGACGAGTCAGGAGAAGCAGAGGAGATCGTGTGGAGGTGGAGCCGAAGGAGATGGAGGAGTCACTCGAGCAACAAGCCACCGCCGCACCCTCGACGCAATCCTAGACACATCGAAAACCTCGACCAGAAAGTAATTCGTGTACTTACACACATGCTCGGCGTTTCTCACGCTACCGTAACCGCGCGACGCGCGTAGTGAAAGAATGAAAATATATGCGCGCTCACATCTTACAATTGCATAAAAAAAAAAAAAAATGGAAAACTTGAAGAAAA